TGCTCGGCTTGGTCTCCTCTTGATCATCTCTTACTTCGAGATTATGCTGAGGTCTGCTGGGCTACTTTTATTATCTCTCCCTGAACCCCGAACTTTATTATCCCCTAGTGTTTATTCTCACGGGCATGAGGTTAGTCTGTGGACTATTTTTGGAGCATTTTTTTACAATGTTGGAGTATTTGTTGGGCATGTTTTATTTTTCCTCGAAAATCCCCATGTAGGGGGACACGCCCGACTTGAGCCTAGCTGCGTTCCGGCGCGTCCCGCCGCCGAGGGCGTCTCGGGCGACAGGGGCCTCCAGGGTCCCAAGACCGTGCGGTGAATAGGGGAACAAAAAGTGACACGAACATAAAAACTCGGAGGTCCGCGCGGATTTCTCGGATCGGCGCTGGACCCCCCTCCCTGGCGCGCGGAGCGCGCCAGGGGCGGCGCCGGAGGCGCCGCCGGGGGGCCCCAGCGCCGCCCAGTTTTTCTGTTCGTGACACTTTTTGTTCCCCTATTCACCGCACGGTCTTGGGACCCTGGAGGCCCCTGTCGCCCGAGACGCCCTCGGCGGCGGGACGCGCCGGAACGCAGCTAGAGGCTCAAGTCGGGCGTGTCCCCCTACACGGGGTGAGGTGAGGTGAGGTTTCCTGGGGTTCCGAGGCCACCGCGCGGTCGGTCACCGCACCGCTTCGGGACTCCAAAGGTTGGGTTCCGCACGGCAGCGCGCCGGGCGCTCCCGCTGCGCGGGCGCCGGGCGTGCTGGCCTCGGGGGCTCTGCCGCGCGGGGGCGGGGAGGGGGGCGCGGCGCGGCGCGGCGCGGCGTGGCGGGATCCCCGGGGGGGGTTACCGTGAAGTCGGGCCTGTTCCCCTACAGGGGGATTTTCGGCGAAAAGTTGAAAATACCGAGAAATGCCCCGAAAAGGCCAAAAAAAACATATGCAACAAATGGTCCCCCGACTATTTGTTTCGTTATTGTTTACCTATTTTGGGGGGGAGTACGTTCGATACCAACTCATGGGAGCCTATTTTCAAATGGACTTTCGTCCTTGGAAACAGTGAACCACAGTTCTGTATAACGATGAGGGAGCATCGCGCAACAACACTTTGGCGCATTTTGTGCACATCTGAGGGGGCACCTTTGCGCACTGGTGTCCACTTTTGCGCACTTTGTGTTTTAGGGAAGGTTCCCATCACTTTCATTCTAAGATTACCGTCTGGGTTGATCAGGAGGTCGACCCGTGAAATCAAGGGTGCCCTTGCTTCCTGTGTTTCGCGATTGGTGTCTTCTGGATTTCTATGGCAGGCATCGAGTGCCTTCCACTACTCGCCAGGTGTACTACTCGCAAGCGTCCAAAAGACACATGTCCGCTCCGATGTAATGGATCGCAGATCCCCCGCGGCGGATCCAAGCCATGTGGAAGTAGTTGTTTTGCGAGTAGTGGAACGCGCTCGTGTAGGCAGTGTGGCACTCGGAAAGGTTTTGTGTCCTCTTACGTGTCCTCGACTATCAACCCTTACTTTAGATCAGAGCGGAAAAGGGCGGTTTAAACGATCGATGTGTTGTGTGCGGCTTGCGACCGCGGTTTTCTAAGCTGCCACAAGGCTGTCCCAAAGCCAGCTTGCCGGCTTCCACGGCTTCTCTTGCACTAGCCGGTGTAATACCGTAGTTGATGTAAGGATGCCGATGGCTTTGCGCCTAAGGCAAGTCTGTAGCTGATGACGCTAGGGAGCCTGAGGAGGCGAAGGTACCGATACGGTAGGTTCACGCGGCATTTGTGCGCTGGCCACCCCGGCGACGGCGTTGAAGTTTGAAGTCTGCGACGCAGAAGCACCCAGTGTCACCGTAACGCCACTGGACCCGACGGAATTCAATTTTGAAGGATCAGACCCGCGATCGATTCAAGTTTTTAAACGGTCGACGTGGTGTCAAAAAACTGCTGCGCGCGCCGAAACCGCACGAACCTACTCTATCGCTATGCTTCCTTCGTCGCCACGGCTGGATTCGCCTCGAGATCTTGGCTAGGCTGCGCCCCAGGAGAGGGCCGTGGACTCGCGGTACCGGTATCCTTGTTGTCCTCCTTCGAGGATCTGTACGGACGAGCTGGGCAAGGAAAGAATGGGTACAATGCTCAACAGCAGTTCTTGTTCATTTTGAACTGGATTCGCTGTCCGCGCCGCCGCGGTCTGTGTCCATTTGAGACAGAGGGCCGCCTGCCCAACAGCGGCCGCTGTTGGCTTTGGACAACATTTGTTGTTGGGCATTGTACCCATTTTTTCCGTACCCAATTCGGGCGTCCAAAGATGAGAGGCGGCGACAGGAGCAGAAGGGGGGGTCTGAGGAGGAGGAAGAGGAGGAGGAGGAAGAGGAGAAGGAGGCGGATCGGGGAAACGTAAGACTCGAGTGCGCCAGAACTCGGCTTTGCCGACGCTGTTCCAGGAGCGCGGCTTGGATCTTGACGGTCCAGTTTTCGTGGGATATTTGCAGTGGGATTTCGCGTCAACTTTCCGATTGGGTCGTGTCATTTTCATGATGGCCCCTAGAGGCCAACCCAAGGCCTCCGACCCCGAGTCTTACGTCTCCCCGAGAGGAGGAGGGCGGAAAAGGACGGCGGCGACGCAGGACAGGCGAGGCTCAAGCCTCGATGGCCCAGATAAGCTTGAGTTTGAACGGTTGTGCTGCGATGGCCTGTTCACTTCTGCCGCGGAACCGTAGCCACCGCAGTCCGTGCTTTGATTGATTCAAGCTCCGACGGAGAGTTGTATAATCACCGCTCCGGGCGCTCAGGCTGATTTTTGTCGGCACCCACCTGTGAAAACATAAGTTTGATTACATCGTAATCTTCATCGTCACGCGTGGCTCGTGAAAGGGGGGGTCGAAGAGAGAGAAACGGCACAAGAGTAAACGCAGGTGAATGCCAGCTCCTCCTCTTCCGGAGGAGGGGTCGGGTCGGACGAAAGAAGGGGGGGGGGATTGGGACGAGGGGGGGAAAGACGTTTGACGCGTGCAGTTGGCTTCGGCTCCGCCGCCGGGCGCCTCTCCTCGACACACCTGGCGCCGGAGGCGTGGGCCACACCAGCCACGTGAGCTGACTCGCGAAGCCCCCCTTTCTTACCATCCTCCTCCTCCTCCTCCTCCTCCTCCTCCTCCTCCTCCTCCTCCTCCTCCTCCTCCTCCTCCTCCTCCTCCTCCTCCTCCTCCTCCTCCTCCTCCTCCTCCCCCTTCTGCTTCTCTCCCTCCTCCTCCTCCGCCTCCTCCTCCTCTTCCTCCTTGGCGGCGCCCACAGGGGCGTGGCGCGAGGGAGGCGGGCCTCTAAGAAGCCTTCACAGAGGCCTCCAGGGCCTTCTCTGAGGGCCCCTGCCTTGGAGGAACTCCTCCGCCTTTTGGGCGCCGCCCGTCTCCGTCCGGCCCGACAGGGAGGAGGCCTAGGGTTCAGTCGGGCCTGTCCCCCTACAGGGGGATGTTCGACGAAAAATGAAAAATACCCCAAACATACCCCAAAGAGTTCAAAAAGAACTACCCCAAAAATGGTCCCCAGACCATTTTGGGATTGTTTATTATTATTATTGTTATTATTATTATTATTATTATTTTTATTACTATTATTATTAGCATTATTATCCTTATTAATATTATTATTAATATTATTATTATTATTATTATTATTATTATTTGGGGGGTACTTTTTATCTTTCGTCGAAAATCCTCCTGTAGAGGGACAGGCCCGAGTTAATTTTCGTCCGACCCGACAGGGAGGAGTCCTAGGGCGAGAGCGCGAGGGGGGGGGGGCAAGCGCAGCGCGGAGCCCTCCCCGCCCAAAATGTGCAGACTCGCTACGAGGGGGCGCATCGCCGATTGGTCGGCGATGCATCGCGGACTCGGGTTCAATGCTTCCCCCACCGAGTTGGTCCCCCCTGACGCTGCCCCTCAAAAGGGGTGGGGCCGACAGCGACGCCGAGGGCGAGAAGAACCTGCAGAGGAAGGGGGGCGGCCCAGGGCCTCTTCCAGAGGAGGGCGGGGAGGCCCCAGGGGCGAAGGCGGAGGCACCCTGGAGGGGAGGGAGGCGGTATCCTAGAGAAGAGGAGGGGAGGCCAGACCCTCCTCGTCGTCGTCGTCGTCGTGGTCGTCGTCGTCGTCGCCGTCGTCGTCGCCGCAGTCGTCGTCGTCGTCGTGGTGGTCGTCGTCGCCGTCGCCGTCGTCGTCGTCGTCGTCGACGCCGTCGTAGCCTCGTCGTCGTCGGCGTCAAGAGAGGGTCGTACTAGCACGAAGAAGGTCTTATAAGCACTAAGGCATTACAGTGTGAATTCTACCAGTATGCCAGTGCGAATTCTACCGCGCAGGGCTGCTTTGGCGCCTGCCGGGCCCCCTGGTGCGATTTCTACCGCACGGGCCTGCCTTGGCGCCCCCCGGCGCGACTTCCACCGCGCACGCCTGTATTGGCGCCCCCAGAGTAAGTTCTACCGCACGGGGCCGCAGCGGCGCCCCCAGCGCGAATTCTACCGCACGGTGCAAATGCTACCGAACGGGGCTGGGTTGGCGCCCCAATGTGGTTTCCACCGCGCGGGGCCGCCTTGGCGCCCCCTGCGTGCATTTTACCGCGCGGGTCTGGCCCCCAATGCGCGGTAGAATTCACACTGGGCGGCCCCGCGCGGCGGCCCCGCGTGGTAGAAATGTGCCGGGCAGCCCCGCGCGTTAGAATTCACGCTGGGCGGCCCCGCGCGGTAGAACGCGCGCCGGGCGGCCCCGCGCGGTAGAATTCACGTCAAGCGGCTCCGCGCGGTAGAATGCACGCTGGGCGGCCCGCGCGGTAGACCTCGCGCCGGGCCCCGCGACGCAGCGGTTCACGCCGCGCGGCCCTGCGCGGCAGCGCTCGCATTGAGCTCTCGAAGAATCGACTCACTCTGGGCAGCCCCGCGCGGTGGAATTTACACTGGGCGGCCCCGCGCGGCGCAATTCACGCGGGGCGACCCTGCCCGGTCGCGATCGCGATGGGCGGCGCCTCGCGGTAAACGCCACGCCGAGTGGCCCCGCGCGGTAGAATTCACGCTCGGCGGCCCCGTGCGCTTGAATTAATCTACATGCAACTGCCCCCTGCGGTAGAATTCATACTGGGCGGCACCGCGCTATAGAGTTCAAACTCGGCGGCCCCGCGCGGTGGAATTCAGGGCGGGGGCGCCCAAGCGGGCGCGGCAATTCACAGTGGGGGCGCGGTGGAATTCACATAGGGGCCACCGTAGAAGTCGCGCTGGGTGGCGCGGCGTTCCGAGGACTGTGCCCTTGCCGTTCGGTGCGCTAGTGTTCCTTGGACCGTGGCGTTGGCGTTCATGCGACCAGCCCATCATCCTCGTCGTCGCGGTCGTCGCCGTCGTCGTCGTCGTCGACGACGACCAGGGGGGCCAGAGGAGGCCCGAGACCCAGGCGTCGAGGGCGGCGGCGCGAGCGTTCCGCGCGGAGCTTGCCCCCGCCTTCGCCGCCGCCCCCTGCCGCGCGAGGCGCGGCCGCCGAGGCCCAGGCGCCAGGCCTGCCCGCCCGCGGCGAAGGGGGGGCAGCGGAAGAAGAAGACGGAGGAGGAGGAGGAGGAGGAGAAGGAGAAGGAGGACGAGGGGGGGGAGGAGGAAGAGGGAAAACGAGACGCAGGAGGAGGAGGAGGAGGAGGAAGAGGAGGAGGAGGAGGAGGAGGAGGCGGAGGAGGCGGAGGAGGAGGAGGAGGAAAAAGGGGAAGAGGAGGGGGGATGAGAAAATGCGGAGGAGGAGGAGGAAATGAAGTTGGAGAAAGCGGAAGAGGAGGGGGGATGAGAAAATGCGGAGGATGACAAGGAAAAGGAAGAGGATTAGGAGGAGGAGGCGGAGGAGGAGGAGGTGGAGGAAAAATTGGCATCGTTCGGGGGTGTGCGTTTTTTTCTTTGGCGAGGGCCATCGAGGAGTAACCTGGATCATCGTAAAAACACGCACGAAACCGAAACATGCACGGGGAATGGACGTCCGAGCGACGGCAAGACGAGGAGGAGGAGGAGGAGGAGGAGGAGGAGGAGGAGGAGGAGGAGGAGGAGGAGGGGAAGGGGGGAAGAGAGAAAAGAAAGGGCGGAGAGAGGAGACGGAGGAGGAGGAGGAGGAGGAAGAAGAAAGTGAGGGAGGAGAAGGGGCAGATAGTGGAGACGGAGGAGGATGAGGAGGAGGGTGTGGTAGGAGAAAGGGCGGCGAGGGGAGACGGAGGGGGAAAGGGAGGAGAAGGGGGCCGAGCAGAGAGGAAAAGGAGGAAAACCCGCACATACCAAATGGAGGGAAGAGTGTTGCCTCTCCAGGCTGTCTCATCCCACGCACATGCCGACGCGAAGCTGCTGAACCAACTATGAGGTTGAGGGCGAGGAAGATGAGGGTTGCACAGAGAAACATGACAAATCAGCCAGAAGGATTCAATAAGAGACCGCCCGCGCTGAGAGAGGAGAAGGCGGATGAGGAGGATGAGGAGGAGGAAGATGGAGCGGCTGCGCCGCAGGCGCAGGGTTGCCTTCGGGCGGGGCAGAGCCATTCGCGTTTGGGCAGAGCGTACGCAGCAGTTCGTTGGTCTTCGGCGGCTTTCCAGCCTCGGGGTGCCTTCCAGCAGCTGCGCCTCGCCGAGAGCGTTCCAGGGGCGCCCCGACCGCCCCCGAAGGGCTGCCCGAATCCCGAGCCGTGGGCCGAAGACCGGACAACGAGGTTCCGGAACGCTCGAAGGATTGCAAAAAAACGAAGGATTGCAATCCTTCGTTTGCAATCCTTCGTCGAAGGGTTTTTTTGCAATCCTTCGTAGGGTTTTTTTGCAATCCTTCGTTTTTTGCAATCCTTCGAAGCCCTCAAAAGCCTTTTGGAACGGCCGCGGCGCCCGATGCTGCGGCCCCACTCGGTGCCACGCGCGTCGATGGGGCGCGCGCCGCCCCGCCCTGCGCTGCAGGCTCTGGGCGTCTCCTCGAGAAGGACCTCTGGATCCGCTGCGGCGCCCGTTGCGGCCTCCAGAACCGCGGGATCCCAGAGATCCACGAGTCGCCCCGGTCCGAGGTTGTCCTGGTCCTGGCTTCGTCTTAGCTGCGCGATCGCCTCGAGGCCCTCCTCCGCCTTCTCCTCCTCCCCCTCCTCCTCCTCCTCCTCCTCCTCCCCTCCTCCTCCTCCTCCTCCTCCTCCTCCTCCTCACTCCTCCTCCTCCTGGTCCTCCTCCTCCTCCTCCTCCTCCTCCTCCTCCTCCTCCTCCTCCTCCTCCTCCTCCTCCTCCTCGGGTCGCCCCCAGGCATCCCAGGAGGATCTCGGAGTCGTTTCGCCGGTCCCCATCCCCATCCTCATGGCCCAACGGGCTTCCGACATCGCCCGACTGAGCCCAACGAGGGCGTAAAAAGACAGTCGAAGAGACCGCGTTGATTTAATATCCTGGCATCCTGGCCGCCCAAGACGGGCGAGGAGACCCCCGAAACCCGAAGGGAACAAGCTTGCATCCCCATGTAAAGGAAGTACATCGGCCCGTGGGGCCCAGGCCACGCCAGTGGGGCTGGGGGTCGGATAAATGATGCTCACGTGACCACACCGTGTACGTAGTGACTCAGAGGGACTCGGGGCGACCGCGCGTCTTTTTTAACGAGGGCAGTTCTCCGAGGGTGTCTCTGGCAACCGGGATCACCGCGTGGTTTGTCGCTGCACCGTTTTGGATCGCCCAGACATGGAGCAACAACGGGCCGCCGCTCGGCCGCCACCCGGTGAGACGAGGCTCTGGATCGAGTCTTGCGGAGTCCCTTTGCCTACTTTGCGTGGCCTTCTCGGGCGCCCTCGCCGCCACGGCCGGATATCCGCCTCGAAGTCCAGACCAGCGCGCGCCCCGGGGGAGGTCCAGGGAAATGCGCGCGGGGCCTCGCGTAATGGTTGGGGGCGATAAATGGCGCAGCGAGGGCTGCAGAAAAGGTGCCCCTCAGGGCCCAAATTCGCTCCCGCCGCGCGCTCTGATCAGGACTCAGAGGTGGCGACGAGGGCCCTCCTAAACTCAGGAGGGGGAACAACACAGACACAGAGAATCGCCGATCCCCTGGAAAAGATTGGAACACGTCGCAAGTGTGGGGGACGACGAGAATCCCAGAAAATCTCAGAATATGATGGGGGAATTCTTGGATTTGTGTGTATTTGTTGTTGTCTGTCCCGGGGCCACTTCATAAACCAGAACACTGCTGACCAGGGTTTGAACATTCCACCCCGAGGAAACGAAGTAGTTACAGTCTGGCCGAGGTATAAGGTCGAGATCGGTTCGGGGAGGGTGCCCTAGTGTTCTTCGTGTTTGTTGGATCTTATCGTGTATCTTGGGGGAGGGTACCTTCTAATGGTTTCCCGCTTGGACCAGCGGGGGCTCATGCTGTTGAAGGATGGTATTCTGGCCCAGGTCCGCCTGTAGTTAAATGGAGAGTGCCTCAGCCCACGGTTGCAGGTTTTTCGGGCGCGCGCCGGCGTCCTGGCTCCGCAGGGTCCCCGTTCCATGGGCCCCGACCTCCAGGGAGGTCTATTCCGCCAAGGGAGCACCAGGGCCACCCCCTCCCTCCCCCCCCCCTCTCTCGAGGGTGAGGGTCGCCAGACCTCCGACATCGTTTTCGGGTCGCCCTGGAGGAGCTTGCTCCCCATACTTCTCGCCCCATTCGCAGGGAGCGCTTCTGCATCATACCTCTTCGACCACCCTGCAGGTGATAAGGAGGTTGGGGGGGGGAGGGGGCCAGCAATGGGCAACAGTGGCGATTGTTGATCTGACAGTCGATCTCAGTATCGATCATCCTATCGATCTCACTATCGTTCTCACTATCGGTCTCATCGATCTAACTATCGATATCACTACCGATCTCAGCACGTGAGACCACGGGACACCGACGGGACACCGATGGGACAACGACGGGACACAATCGATCTCACTGTCGATCTCACTATCCATCCCACTATCCATCCCACTATCGATCTCGCTATCGATCTCACGATCGATCTCGCTTTCGATCTCACTATTCATCTCACTATCGATTCCACTATCGATCTCGCTATCGATCCCACTCGATCGATCGCACTATAGAACCCACTATCGATCTCACTATCGATATCACGATCGATCTCACTATTGATCTCACGATCGATCTCTCACTATAGATCTCACTATCGATCCCACTATCGGTCTCATTATCGATCTCACTATCGATCTCACTAACGATCTCACTGTCGATCTCACCACGGGACACCACGGGACAACGATGGGACACCGGCGACACACCAGCGGGACACCAGCGGGACACCGGCGGGACACCGCGCGCCACCGGTTGCCGGGCGGAGATCCTTTTGGTCCAGCCGCGGCCCAGCCACGACGGGACACCGGCGGGACACCAGCTGTAGCGGGACACCAGCGGGACACCGGCGGGACACCGCGCGCCACTGGTTGCCGGGCGGAGAACCTTTTGGTCCGGCCGCGGCCCAGCCACAGGAGAATTTCTTCTCCCCCGCCCACGCAGCTTCGCCTCGCCCGCACGCACGGCACGAACACGAAACCGAAATCGATTTCCCGGTAGGGGGGCTCTCCGTTCCACTTCGACTTCACCCCCCAACCTCCGACGAAGCAGCCGTGGCATCTCCCAGACTGCACGACCCCCTGGCCTTCTCTCAAGACATCCCCTGGCCCCCCCTCGTCCGAGCTCCTGCCTCGGACCCTGATGCGACACGGCCAAGACGCCGACATGGGGATCAGCTCGGGATCGGAAGGGGCTCGCTGCTTCCTGGGTCCTTCCCTGGTTGCTCCTCGAGCGCTCCTCGCGCACGCAGGCGCTCTCTGGGGGTGCGCGGGGAGGGCATCCCGGCGGCGGCGGCGGCCCCGCGCCTCCCCCCGCGCGCGCCGCGGGCCAGGTGGCCCTGGGCGGCGTGGAGGCGAGGGGCCACGGCAGCCTGCTGCCCTTGCCGGACGGCCTTCCGAGGAGGAGGAGGAGGAGGAGGAGGAGGAGGAGGAGGAGGAGGAGGAGGCGGAGGAGGCGGAGGAGGCGGGGGAGGTGAGTAGAAGGATGAGGAGGGACCTAGTGAACCCTCAAGGAAATCCTGCCCAGGGCCAGATGGTCTGGTTTTCTCTGTATGGCGCTGGTGTGCAGTTCGTTCAATTGGCCGCGGCTTGGCAAGTAGACTGACGCTTAGTGGTTCGATCAAGTCGCTGCGATAAGAAACGGTTCGTGTTCCTTTCGCCCCGCCCCCCATTTTCCACCCGTCATGACCCATCCTCATCCCTTGCTCAAGGAGCCAACTGTGCATTTACACCAATATCCTGGCCAGTCCGATCTTTGGCCCAGGATCGCTGCATGTTCCTTCCTGGCCAAGCCAGGAGGTGGTGTACACGATCCTGAGTTCAGGATTGGCCCGACCATCATCCGCTAGGGGCCTCGTCAACGACTCGGCGACCGCAGCCAGGACGTGCAAAGTTGAACGCCGCCGGTGGCCTGGAGTCGGCCGACTCCGAAAGACCCTGCGCAACAGGAAAAACCACGGTCGAGCAAGATCAAACGATCCACGCGGCATTCGAAAACAAGGCGCAGGTCGTCACGACATGAATTTGCCGTAGGTGTATAGTTTTAGTAGGGAAGGCCACGAGAAAGACCACTCAGGTGTACATGACTGGCGTAGAATGAACAGCCCTGGGCGAGTGCTAAAGGGTCTCGCTTGTAGAGGTGTTTACTATGTGAGTGGTCACTCTTCCATCTAACGGCTGGCGTCCACCCGCAAGGGCGCTGGCAAACGGGGGACTGGCTGGGGGGGGGGAACGATCCCCAAGCGCCTATGCCTCGTCGATCGGGGCTTGAGTGCTCCAACCGGCCCAGGAACGCACGATGGCCCTTGCCAGGGCACATCGCCAATCGAATCGCCGATTCCGGGTCGTCGCATTCCTCCCTGAGCCCCGCCCCCCCACCCAACCGAGTCTTCGTCCTGGATATTTGCTTCTGTGGTTCCGGGGCCCGTGAAGACCCTCAGGGGCCCGAGGACGGAGAACAGGTTAGTAGAGTCGTTCGGGAGGGGCTCAGTGTTTCTTAGTTCTGTTGCATCTTGCCTTTGGCGTTCCCGAGCTGTTCGATGGGAAACCGAAGTTTGAACCGAAGTTTAATGTATGGGCAAAGGGGCCTCGTTTCTCATGTGGGGTTCCTTAGGTCAATGCCCCGACTGTACCACTTTCCTCTAGGACCCGCCTCCTGCATGCCTCATAGCTGGCGCCCCTTCTCCCCCGCTTCGGCGCATCGCTCCGTCCTCCGTGCCCTCCTCGAGCACCTCCCTTCAAAATCCTCTCCCTCCCTCTCCCACGCCACCTCCATCCTCTTCTCTCGTCCACGCCGTGCCTTCTGTCATTTCCCCCTCCTGCTGCTCCCCCTTGCTTCTCCCCCTGTCCCTCCCCCAGCTACCTCCGCCGCCCCTCCTCGCTTCGGGGGCCCCCAGTCAGTGCGGCGATCACTCCGTGTGGTAAGTCAGGGATTCGAGGTGACTGCCCGTCGGGACTTGGGTCGTTTTGCTAGGATGATTCGGGCGATTGGGGCCTCCGAGGTCCCAAGACCGTGCGGTGCCGGACTCTGCGATGAGGCCTCGGAGGATTCCGAGGTCACCGCACGGTCGGAGGTCGAGGGTCGAGGAGGAGGGAGGCTGGAGGATTCACGAGGTTTCGAGCGTCTTTGCTTGGCATCGTTTGGACGCGTGCGTCTACAAGGACCATCAGAGAGCATTGTTGCTCATCCTGCGAAGAAATGCACGCACGAAACCGAAAAAGGTACGGGAAATCGACGTCCGAGCGATGGCGAGTTTCGGAGTCCAGAGGTGCCCCTATCCTGGAGGAAGTCGCGGCCCCTTACTCCTCCTCTCCCCTCCCCTCCTGCAGGACGGGGGGACCGCAGACTCGCATACGTTCGGACCGAGGCATGAGATCGAGGTCGGTGCGGGGAGGGTACCCTCGTGTTCTCTGCGTTTGCTGAATGTTCTTGTGCACCCTGGGGAGGGTACCCCAGGATGTTCTGTGCGTTTTGGCCGGCGGAGGGTCCCATGCTCTCGAAGGACAATTTTCTGTCCCAGGTCCGACTGTACCCGGGTGCCCCCGGCGTGGGCACTTGCACGAACCTTCGGTGTTCGAACATGAGCCCCTGGCTGAACGCAACCATCCAGCTTTCGCGCCGGAGACTTTTGGAAACCGCCAAGCAGGACCAAGCACCGCCCCAAGACCGCCGAAGACGGCCCAAGAGCGATGGGTAATAAGGGGCCCATGGTCGAACGCGTAACATGGGCTCACATACCCAGGTGCCCCCGACGTCCCCCCCTGCACGAACCGCGGCGCAGACCGATCCCCCCCCTCGCCAGGACCAGGGCGCGTCTTGGCTGCCGAAGACGCGCCCCGCCACCGCGGGCGCCGCCTGAGCCAGAGCCCTGCGTCGCCGAGCGCCCTGCAGGGAGGTGGAGGGAGGAGGGGAGGAGGGAGAAGTAACCAGGGAGTGACCAAAGGTGGCCTCGTCCCGTCCACGCAGAGGCAGGAGATCGACAGAGTGGCCGACACCTGCCCCGAGATCAGAAATCACAGTTCGCCCAGGCTCGCCGCGCCAGGATGACCCATAGGCCACCAGCTCGAGCTCGAGCAGGAGGAGCGCCGCGGCGCCCGGTACATCGTCCGGACCCGCCAGCTCTCGGAGATTCCAGATTTGTCTTCATCCGAAGTTATCCTCGTTCGAGGGAGGAGGAGGAGGAGGAGGAAGAAGTGGACCAGTGTAAACCCAAGACTCATCGACGATGTTGAAAGACACCCTCCCTCCAAGGTCCCTCTTCATGGGCCCGTACAAGAATCGTTCTCATTGAGGGAACTGCCCCGTTGGGGTACAACCGTGCGAACACCTTGAAGCGCGCCAACACCCAATGTTCAGGACTTCGACGCCACGAATTAACCTGACTGTTACGTCTTGGCGATCGTGGATCGTGCCAGAACACCCTTGTCCTGGGGCTTTAGCACCACGAATCAGTGTAAACGTTGCGCCTTGACAATCCAGAGAATCGTTCCAGAACACAGTTGCTGGGGTAGTTTAACCAAGAAAATCAGCTGCATTCTTGCAAATGTTTAGTGCGAATTTGCGCGTCGCTGAGGTGAGAGCTATATTTTCAGTCGAGCATGCCCCTCTACAGGAGGAATATTAAAGTAGTCTTGGGACGATTGGTCGACTGTGTTGTTGACTATGTTGAGTATGTGTTGATGAGTTTGTTCATCCAACATGGGCCTGTAAGCGGGCTTGCCCGAACTAAATTTATAGTTTGGACAGGAACTGCCCTAAATCCGCGAAGAACCTCTTGCAAATGTGTAAAACACATGTGCGCGGCGCCACGGCGCCACATTTTGAAAGCTGTCCGCCCTCAATCCGTGACACTCTTGCAAAATGTTTAGAACGAATGTGCGCGGCGCTAGGGCGAGAGCCACATTTTGGAAAGGAGCCGCCCTCAATCCGTGAATATGTTTGCAAATTATTGACCCACAGGAGTGCCCAGGTCGAGGGCCCACAAGACCTTCGCGATCCAGTGACAGGGCAATTCATCTACAACACCCCCCTCGAGAGAGTCGTCGTCCAGAGCCCCATCGGAGAGGCTCCCGCTGAGACCGTGAAAAGGCTCCAGCGGGAGCTGTGCGACTACTTCACTGGCCTATGGCACCAATGAACAACCGCACATCCCCCGCATACAGGCCGGGCCTGTGCTGACCCTACGCGCCAATCGCTGGAGCCCTGTTCGCGTTTTTTCGACGAACGGCCCTGCTACAGGTACAACGTTTTCACGATGAACACTGCGCTCCAGCTTGGGGTCGACTGGGAGTCTGTACGCGCTCGCATCCGCGACAGAGGTTGAATCACGGACAACCCCGGCAAAGCTAAAGGCAAAGGGCCGCTTGAAGACAGCGACGCCCGGCGGAATAGAACTGCGGACCCCAGAAGTGCAATGGGCGCGCGCCAGCCTTGGGCACACTCCTAGGCCTGGCGAAGGCCGCTCCGATGCGCTCACACAGCCGCAACCGTGGGCGCCGCACGTTACCTTTGGGCCCCTTGGGACCCACCTCTCCTGGCCACCGGGACGGCCTGCTCCTGCGCGCGCCACTGCGTGCGCGCCAAAACCACCTCGGACGCGCCCAGCTGGGGCTGTTGGCCCGTCCCAGGCACTAGAGTCCCTCTCCGGGGCACCAATTTGCGGCCTCTCTCCCCCTGGATGATTGCCGCCCCCCAGGCACGCTATAGGCGGCCTGGGGACTGGCCCCCCCCCTCGTGGGCCCCTGCTACTGCTAGAGCCCCTGCGGCAGCCCTCCTTTGCAGCACCCCGCAGCCCCGCACATCTGCAGCGCCTTGCCGCTCTCCCGGGGGATCCTGGCAGGCACACGATGGTCCCACCGAATTCTTTCCTCACCACTGTCAGCCGCCCCCCCCCCCCTCCACCAGCTGACCTACTGGACTTGCCTGGGTCGCCACCCTTTACCTGGAGCCTCCCCCTAACTCCACGGCGGCGGCCTGCCACCCTTCTCCTGTTCGGCTGCCCTCTGTGCGCCCTCCATGGGCGTCTCTTCGCACGCGACCGGCTCAGTGCTCGCTACTGCTAGCCGCACCCCAACTCGCCTTGGCAGGTCTCAAGCGAAGCGGCCCCCGGTCGAACAAGCACCTGATTCCGATTGGCCCTCGGGCTCCGGTAGCCTGATCCGCCCACCGCCCGCTCCACGCCGCTGCGGTTGTCTGCTGCACTGGGGTGGAATGGGAAGTGGAACCTTACCCCTCAAAGGTGGATCGGGCACAATGATCTGACCCTGGCCACTTCACCTTTCCCGCGGCTGTCAGCCGCACCCCAGGTGATCCTAGACCTGATCGTCCCTCCGTCGCTGACTCCCTCGACCTCACAGGCCACACCTCTTCCTGTCATTTCGCGGCTGGTAGCTGCACCTCACCAGAACATGCGCATGCCTCAGGCGAAGCCTTTTCCAAACATCCCACCGCTGTTAGCTGCACCCCAGAAGAGCATCGGCAGGTCCCAGGCAAAACCATCTCCCACCATCCCGCGGCTGTTAGCCGCACCCCAGCCGACCATACAGGCGAGGCACGTTCCGACCATTCCGTGGCAGTCAGCCGCACCCCAGCAAAGCATCAGCATGTCTCAGGTGGAACCATTTCCCACCATCCCGCGGCTGTTAGCCGCACCCCAGCAGTGCTTCGGCGTGTCTCAGGCGAAACCATTTCCCAACTGCCCGCGGCTGCTAACCGCACCCCAGCTGTGCATCGTCAGGTCTCAGGCGAAACCTTTCCCCACCATTCCGCGGCTGTTAGCCGCACCCCTTCTCATGCTGCGGCAAGTCCAGACGTCACCCTTTCCCATCTTTTCGCAGCTGTTAGCAGCACCCCACCAGTGCGTCGGTCTGTCTCAGGCGAAAACGTCTCCTACGTTTCCGCGGCTGTTAGCCGCACCCACGCTGGGTTTCGGAATGTTTTCGGCGGATCCTTTACCTACCACCCGCGGCTGTTAGCCGCACCCCTGGGGCGCGTCGGTTGGTCTCAGACGAAACCTCTTCCGAGCTTCCCGCTGCTGTCCGCCGCACCCCAGCTGTGCCTCCTCCACTTTTCAGCGGCTGTTAGCCGCCCCCCATCGAAGATAACCGAAGTTCCCGCGGCTGTTAGCCGCCCCACTCTGCCGGGCGCCTCTGGCCCTCCGTGCTCCCCCTGGGGCACGCGGGCCGGTAGGTTTCCTATACGCCCGCGGTCTCGCGACGCCCCTGGAGGACGGCCGGTTGGTCAGCTCCCTGTGCCTCGGTGCGGACCGCAGCTCACGCTTCCATGGACTTCCCGGTCACGGTCTCCCATGACGCGGGCCTTCATCTGGGTCTCCCGCCGGCTGGCGCACGTTCGCGGCCTCGGCATTTGGGTTGACAGGTTCACGGCGTTCGGCGTCTGACGGCCGGCGACGGTTCAGAGTGCACGGTCGCCCACCCGCTGTATACGTACTTGGAGAGCAACGTGTCCCTGGCGGTCACTTACCCTGCCTTCGCTTCTGAGTTGCGCCGCGTGTGTTCCTCTTTCGCCCTCATTTCGTTGTCCCTTGTTCGCTTTCTTATTTTCGTTTTTCTTCTTCGCCCGTTTCTCTCTTTTTCTCTCTCTCTCTCTCTCTCTCTCTCTCTCTCTCTCTCTCTCTCTCTCTCTCTCCCTCTCTTTCTCTCTTTCTCTCTTGCGTCGACCCGTATTCGTCACTCTTGCGCTGCCTCTGGCGTAGTGGCCCTGTACTTTTTCCGCCGCCTTGGACTTGCACGGCTTCGCACTTCGCTTGACTTCAAGACGCCGCGCGGGCGCCAGCAGCAGACATCGCCATAGCTTGGCCGCTTGACTTCGCTTATCCCCACCAGCAGACATCGCCACAGCCTGGCCGTGTTTGCGGCTGCCGCCTGCATGGTGGGATGCGCCCCATACGTGGATTGTTCAGGAGCGGTTCAGCCTTCTTGTTCAGCCATGTGAGGTTGTCTCTGTTGACATGCGGCACTGGTGCGCTGGATTGCTCGCGCAGCCCCGCGATTTGCCACGCTCGGTGGCACGACTACCTTTGGCACCTGACGCGACAGGTTACAATTCGTTCGTCTCCCCGGTGGTGTCGCCGCTGGGATGGCTGCACGTCGGCCTCCTGACTCTCCTGGCAGCTCCTGCAGCCTGCCTTCAGCCCCCGGCGCCACTCAGCACCCTTCGGCGGCAGTTTTGGCAGCCGTGAGTGCGCTCGCTGGGTAATTAGGCTCCGCCCGTAGCCCGGGTCGACCTTTGACGCCGCTTGCGCATTCGCTTGCGGTCGCGACCAGAAAAATCCCCACCCTGCGTAATTTACGCCGCCGCTAGTTAGTTGCGCCCTTGGACGCCGCCCGATTGTTTCCGGCGCGGTCACGATCAACACGTATCCCCACCAGTCCATCCAGAAACGATGTCCAGGAGAGTTGGCGGGGGAAGAACTGAAGAGACGCGCGCAGTGCAACAGAGCGGGCAACAACGGTGAACTCAGAGATGTCTGGTAGCGAATGGTGCGGGTGCCGTTGTTGGTGTTGTTGTTGGTATTGGTGGTGTTGCTGTTGCTGCCCCTCTTTCCCGCCGCCGCTGCCGCCGTCGTCATCGTCGTTTTCGTCGTCGTCGTCGTCGACTCTGTCGTCGCTGGTTTCGCCGCGAGGGGGGGGGCGGAGGAGGAGGAGGAAGTGGACATGGAGGAGGAGGAAAAGGAGGAGGAAGAGGAGGAGGAGGAGGAGGAGGACGGGGAAGAGGATGTGGGGGAGGGAGATGACAGGAAAGGAGGAGGAGAAGTAGACTGAAAAAGCAAAGGGGAAAGAGGAGGAGGCGGACAAGAACTAGGAGAAGGAGGAGGAGAAGGAGAAGGAGAAGGAGGAGGAGGACAAAAAACATGACGAACATAGGAGCATCCTC